CCCCAACTCTTCCCTGCGCCCCTGGCTGCTCCGGGCTCTGCCCCAGCTGCGCTCCCACCCCCAGCTGCCCCTGGGGCCCTGCTCACCTCCAGGCTCTCCCTCGCCTGCCCCTTCTGCCCTGGGCCCGGCTCCGGGGGCAGGCAGCCCCTCTCTCCCAGGCTCCCTGGCCAAGTCCTCTGCAGCTCCAGGCGCACGGGCCCTTCCTCACCAGCCTGCTGCTCGGCTCTGCTCCGGGTCCCGGCACCTGCGCGGGGGCAAGAGCGGGCGCAGGTCAGCCCTGGCGCTGCGGCCGGGGACAGCCCTGCTGGGCTCCTGCCCTGGCCTGGCACCAAGGCAGCCACAGGCCTCAGCGCGGGGGACGTGGGGGACAAGGACGACTCCGAGCCCCACGGCTCTTGCTAGCGGACCTCCACAGGCACGGACTGGGGACGAGCCCCCGGGACTCTGTCCCAGCGCGGGGTGGGATCACAGCACCGCGGCACACACATCGCTCCCGGGGAGAGGAGCTGCAGGGACCCTGGGGCTGCGTCACATCCAGCTTGTACGGGCAGGGGACGGGAAATGCACGGGCAGTGGCATGGACAGGGCGGCCAGGGCCACGGGGCGGACAGGAACAGCCGACCTGTGGCAGGTCGGCCAACTCCTCCACGGACGCACGGTGCTGCTGCTGCTGCAAAGGGTCGAGCCACCGCTCGCTCCCAGCCCCGGGCAAGGGCCTGCTCTGGGGCACCAGCCTGAGGGGCTTTCGTCTGCCCACGGCTCCCAGGTCTCTGCTCTGGGTGGTCGGCAGCAGCACAGAGGCCTGGCGTGAGCTGGACTGGACCCGGCAGACGTCCCTGGGGAATCTCGTGTCCCAACACCCGCCCCAGCCCCTGCGCGGACATACAGCACTGCCGGGGCACGAGAAAGGGGGCGGGGGGCACTGACGGTGGGAACGTGGATTAGACCCTTGATTGTTCCCGTGGCAGCACGACGAGCCCCCGGGACAAAGCCTGTGTGCCGGGGGCTGCACACACACCACGAGAAAGAGCAGGGCCAGCCTGGGAGCTGCCACCACACAGACCACAGCTCTGGGCCACCCAGCCACGGGCTTACAAGTACTGCAGCCCTGTCACAGCCAGGGTAGACACTTGGGCCGCTCCCCCCGCACGTGGGACAGTCCCTGAGACCCCCCAGCCCCCTGCCCTGGCCGGCGTCTGCCCCGTACCTGACTGCTGCTCGCGCGGGGGCTCCTCTCCGCGGACACG